GCAGATTTGCCTAATGCAATACGTTCTAGGAGGCTAGAATTCTTAATGCAGGACACTGACTTTAAGGGATGGCTTTCTGCCTCTGTGGGCTCAGGGTGAACTCCGTCTCCCAGAAGTTTCTGGTTCCTGGTGCTTCCTTGGCGATCTCAGGGAGGTTTGGCAACGGTATTTGCCCATCTCTATGCACAGAACACACTCTACCCCTGTCCACGAGCACAACAGATACAACCCCTTCCCGCATGGGACTATAACCACGTTTGTTGTTGTTAAGTACCATGGAGTCGGCTACTCATACTGACTGTGTACAGGGTTTCCAAGGCTGTAAATCTTTATGGGAGCAGAAAACCTCATCTTTCTCCCACGAGACCATGGTAGTTTTGAACTACTGACCGTGAGATTAGCAGCCCCATTACTAACCTCTATACTACCAGAGCTACATACAGGTTATTGTTTAAAGTGCTCTGGTAGCATAGTTACGTTCTGTGCTGCTAATCTCAAGGTCAGTAGTTCAAAGCTACCAGTTGCTCTTCAGAAGAAAGGTGAGGCTTTCTGCTTCCATAAATATTTTTTTTTGGGGGGGGGGCACAAAGGTCTCATGGAATCTCCCATAGGACTCGTGAAAGCAGGTGGATTACTCCTTGAATTAGAGGAGAAAATGTACTATCTAAACCAAAGCTATTCTGATTTACTAACGTGAAACCTGGATCAACCTCGGCTCCAGTTTCCCTGTGCCCCAAAATTAATCCCGCACCCGAACCAGACACTATCCTAAACGACACCTCCACCTCCACACGCAGGGTGATGCGCACAGACCCTGTCCGGTTGGGACAGCCTTACACGGTGTGTGAAGACGTCTGGCGCCAAAGGCACAAGTGCCACCTGCTTCCCCATAGGCATCTTTGCCCGGGTGCTCTCCTCACTACTTCACATCCACACACCTGCAAGGAAAAATCACACACTTATCTATTTGATGCCTGAGTCATCAAAAGTTCCGAAAACTCGCTCTTAATTCTGTGAACTACATCCACTTCTTTAAATCCAGCGAATGTTTGTCTGTCTAAGGAAACCGACAAGGGTCTGGGAGTATTCAAAGAGTGTGGACAATAGTACTTCAGGCTTCATGAAGCAATATGTCTGCACCCAGCTAGCCATGTTCATCTGGAGGCGGCCATATTCAAACACTTTCTGTACATAATAATAACCCCCACCACCACCCCCGCCCCCCAGTAGCATGGACTGTGCAATCGTGGTGTGGCCTAGAGCCTCTCTTTCCCAGGTCTAATGAACACCAAAAAATTTCCTTTTACTAGAAAGGAAGAAAAAAAGGAAGGAAGGAAGGAGGGAGAGAAGGAGGAAAGAAGGGAAGGAAAGGAAAGAAGGGCTGGAAGGGGAAGAAGGAAAGGAAAGGAAGGAAGGAAAGAAATGGAAGGAAAGGAAAGATACGAACAAAAGGAAAGGGAAGGAAGGAAGGAGGGAAAGGAGGGAAGGAAGGAAAGGAAACAAAGACCAAGCAGACTGGTAAGGTAGAGACAGGTGGAACCCGGACCCTGTGGCTCTGGGTCACCCTTCCGGGGTGGAACTGAACTCTTCCACTGGCTCAATTTTCAGCAAAACAATAGGGAATATATAAGTGAAACAATAAAAGTGAGGTACGCACATCTTAGAATAACCAAATGGCAGCATTTGCTCAAAGGCAAAGTTCAGAAGGGTGAGAAAAGAAAACGGAAGTGAAACAGGAAACACAGGGATAAACTGGACAACAACATGTGCACGAATTGTTGAATGGAAAATTGATTTGCTCTAAACCTGCACCTTGTTTGTTACGTGCTATGGAGTCCGTTAAGGCCCCCAGCGACCTTGTATAGGGTTTCCAAGGAGCAGCTGGAGCCTGAAGCAGCAACCTTGTGGTTCAAACCAACTTTGCAGCCCAAGCACACGAGCCCATAGAGGCACACCAGGACTCCTAAACCTGCACCTTAGTCACAATAAAAAGTTAAAAAATAATGAAAAATATGGTTATTATCTTGAATATAGGTTATGGAGTGTGATGATAAAAGGTCAAGGATCAACTCAAATTACAACCTAGGTGTCTTCCGCACACCTTGGCACCAAGCTCCTCTCCATCAAATCTCAGAAATAACATTGGATTAACATTGGATCACCCCTGTCTTCTCTGTCCACACTGTTTGACTTCATTGCTCTGAATTACTGCTTATCCACCTTACTAGCCCAGACCAGTGAACCTCTGCATTGGCTCATTTGTTTACCATCCAAATCAATATCTAATTGGATAGTTGTGTATGTCCTCGGAAGACAAAATCATGAAAACCAGTGCTCCCAATATAATTTTATGATGAAAATGAGATTTCTCTACATTTATACATTCCAGCCATAGAAAGAGCTAGAAAGTCTTGCTCATTGTTTGTAAATTTCTGTAGGCATTAGTCACACATCACTATTCAACACATGGAATGTAGCTAGTATTACCCAGGAACCAATTTTTTCTTTTCTTTTTAAAAAAAAAAAATTAAATAAGACACAATGTTTGATTCCTATTTAATTTTTTGTTTTTGAATCCTGGTGTGATGCTGTAGGATCCATGCTGGACTGTGAACCACAACATCGGAAGTTCAAACCCACCAGCTGTTCCTTGGAAACCCTATACAGGGTTGCTATGACTTGGAATCAACTTGATGGCTCTTAACAACAAGAAGTTAATTTTTAAAATATTGTCTTAGATCACTGTTTTAAGAAGCTTTGTATAGGTTTTCTTGCTACATAACAAGAGTCTATGATCATTACTACCAGTGGGAGGGAAGGAAAAATCATTCACTTGCTGGAGGGTAGACACATGTTAATTTCGGTGGCAGGGAAGGAAATATACAAAAAGAGGAAGGTTGGTAGCGGAAAGATGAAGGTAGTAGAAGACACAGAGAGGCGTGCAAGAATTAAAGTTGTTAAGTGCCGTCGTGTCGGTTCCAACTCACAGTGATCCTGTATCACTATTTCCAAGGAGCGGCTGGTAAGTTTGGACCACCAATCCTGTGGCACGCCACCACCACCTCTTATATGGACTCCTGGTGTGGCACTTTGGGCTAATGTACTGGACTGCAAAGTTGGTTTGAACCATAAGGTAGATGGTTCAAGTTCACCAGCCGCTCCTTGGAAACTCTCTATGGGTCAGAACCGACTTGGTGGCACTTAACAACACCTCTGACATGGTTTTTTCATTTATAGCAACATTGCAGATACCAATGATCATTGCAGTTTAAAACAGTCACAGTATTAATTTAGGCTACAGAGACTAACTCGGAGTTTGATTTGTTTAATTGGCATGATAGAAGAATTGGTGTGTGCATGTTTTTGTTAACATCAGATTATGTCTTATATCACAGCACATAAGTACATAGGATGTGTCAGGCATTCCCGGTTTCTGCGTACGTAATTTCCCTCAGATATGCTTTGTAGCCATACAATGATACAGATGTTTCTGCTCAACTGTCATCCCCTGTGTATGCTGGATGTATGAGTATATCCTATGTGTTTTGTAGGGCATAAAATAAAGAGGGAACGGGACAGTGAACATACTACCATAGTTAATGCACTCATAAAATTTTTCTGTGATACAAATGCTCTGTAATCTCCAGAGGGTTTACTTCAGGCTGTCCCACAAGGATGACTTTCCTATTTATTAGGAGCTCACTGATGCTTACTGCTGTCTGAGCTGTCACTGTAGTTATTGCCATACTCAGTGTATTAACAGGGCTTTTCTCCTGTATGACATCATTAGTAAGTGACACCCTGTGACTTGCAAAAGAATCTTCCTCCTTGACTGAATCTATGTTGTTTCTCTCTTTTGTGTGAATTAAAGTTAGAAGCATAGGCAAAAGTTTTTCCACATTCATTGCACGATACGCCATCTTTTCTGTATGAAATCTTTGATGTACAATGAGCTCTTGCTTTGTTTCGAAGGCTTTCCAACATTCACTGCATTGAAAGGGTTTCTCTCTGTGAATTTTCCGATGTCTACTGAGACTTGACTTCTGGGAATAAGATTTTCCACATTCACTACACGTAAAGGAAATCATTACTTTATGAAATCTCTGATGTGCCACCGAGTGTGACTTCTGGTTGAAGTCTTTCCCAAAGTCACTACATATATAGGATTTCTCTCTAGTATGAGTTTGCTGATGAATAATGAGATTTCCCGTATGGCTGAAGTCTTTTCCACATTCATTGCATATATAAGGCTTCTCTCCAGTATGAGTTCGTTGATGAACCCTGAGATTTCCCTTAAGGATGAAGCCTTTCCCACATATGTAAGGTTTCGCTCCAGTATGAGTCCGCTGATGAACAGTGAGATCGCCTCTGTGGGTGAAGCCTTTCCCACATTCACTGCACACATAGGGTTTCTCCCCAGTATGAGTTTGCTGATGAATAATGAGATTTCCCTTATGAATGAAGGCTTTACCACAATCACCACACACACAGGGCTTCTCTCCAGTGTGTGTTCGCTGATGACTAATGAGACTTCCCTTCTGGCTGAAGCCTTTCCCACATTCACCACAGACATAGGGTTTCTCTCCAGTATGAGTTCTCTGATGAGTAGTGAGATCTGTCTTCTGAATGAAGCCTTTCCCACATTCACCGCAGACATAGGGTTTCTCTCCAGTATGAGTTCGCCGATGAATGGTAAGATGGCTCTTCCTAATGAAACCTTTTCCACATTCACTGCACATATAGGGCTTTTCTCCAGTATGAGTTCTCTGATGAATAGTGAGATCTGTCTTCTGGATGAAGCCTTTTCCACATTCAATGCACATACAGGGTTTCTGTACCATGTGAGTTTCCTGAGGTTCACTGAGTTGTGGTTTATGGAAACAAGCTCTGTCACGTTCTGAGCATTTATACACTTTCTGTCCTTTATGAGTTGTGTGATAATGTTCAATGAGTTCAGTGTTTGTAAAGGAGTTTTCCCCACATAGATTGCATCTATAGGTTTCCTCTCCAGCATGAATGATCTGATGGTCGTTGATGAAAGATTTCCTGATGGCTTTCCCACATACATGTGGTTTTTCTACTTTATGAGTTTTTCTAATGCTGAATGAGCTGATACTCCATGCTGTTAGATTTTTGAGTCTTACATAATTTTATTTCAGTACAAAATTGTTCACGTCAGCATGTAGAAAGGTTTCCTCATTTACATTAAACCCAGCAGAGATCTTTATGTCTTTGTTTCTGCCTGGATTGACTGCTGGTGATGTTAAGTTTGATTCCAGAGCGTTTTCATGTAAGTTGAACATAACTTGATTTTCTCTTAAAGGAAAATGATTTTTATGCTGATGAACAATACCATCTAACACATTACGCGCATAGCATCGTTCCATTCTCTGCTCCCTTCTTTCATTTTGTATGTGTCCAAGCAGATGACTATCAACTTTCTGGATTTCTGGAAAAGAAGAGAAAAATGAATCCTTCCATCACCTCGACTGAGAATGAATCCATTCAATAAAATGCAGTGATGTCAAGTGGGTCTTTAGTGACAACTCCTTGATATGAGAGTAAATACAAGGGGGCTTCAAAAAAGTTTGTGGAAAAATGAAAAGATAATGAAATTTCCCCACGAATCTACTGAAGCGCCCATGTAAAACACCCTGCTTAATGTCCTAAAACATAGTAATATAAACAACCCAAATGGTAAGAGCCGTTAGTGTAGCAACAAGGTTAGATAACACATAATGAATAAATATAGACACAGTTACTTCTTAAATAAGCTCTTGCAAAACATGAAGAGAATGTAAAATACAAGCGAGTCACTATCACCCACAGGCCACAGGAAGTATAAAGTCTCCTAATCTCAACTGGTGATGGGGAGATTCATTTACTCTATAAATCCTTCCTGAAAGACAAGTCTATACCAAGCAGAGTTCAATGTGTGAAGAATGCACAATGTTCCATTTGGGAGAAAACACTTTGAACATATACACAATAAAAGTATTGAGAATACACAAATATATTCCTTATGTCTGTAGGGTCTACACTGTAGTGTTATCACTCATCTGTCAGTTTTCCATACTGTGGTGGCTTGTGTGTCGCTGTGACACTGGAAACTATACCACTGGGATTCCAAATACCAGCAGGGTTACTTCTCAGTAAAGCTTATAGATTAAGACATTCTGGGAAATAAGACCTAGTGATTTAAGTCTGAAAATACCGGCCGGTGACATCTTAACTATAACAGCAGAAAAAATAACCTACAGTGTCAAAAGATGAGCCCTCAAATTGGAAAGTATTCAAAATGTGAATGAGGAAGAGCTGCCTCTTCAAAGTGGAGTCAAGGATGTGGATGGAGTAAAGTTTTGGGGAGCTTCATTAAGGGAGAAGAGTGGAGTGCGGGACCCTACCCAGAGAAACAGTGACGCCAGAGATGGAGCGACTGGGGACTCTAGACCCAGAGAGGGAGAGGCGCCGTATGCTGACAACCAGGGGCAGGATTGTGGGGTGTACCCTTTGGTTGGTTGATGATGCATGGAGGGGATTGTAACCATGGTAATGTAATGATATATGATAGGATGAATGTAAAGCTAATGTTCTCCCATGTAAACTATCACATAATTCACAATAAAACATTAAAAAATAAGATCATTTCAAGTTCTACTCTGAAATACAACACTGTCAGTGGTAGGGACATACCCATACACCTACAAGCAAGACCAGTTAATTCAAATTTATGCACCAACCACTACTGTCAAAGATGAAGAGAGAGATGTTTGTCAATTTCTGCAGTATGAAGTTGTTCAAACATGCGATAAGGTATATTGATAATTACTTGTGATTGAGATGTGAAGTTTGGCAAGAAAGAAGATGGATCAATAGTTAGAAAATATAACTTTGGTGACAGAAACAAGGCCAGATATCACATGATAGAATTTTGCTACGCCAATGTCTTATACGTTGCAAATATTATTTTTCCAGCAACATAAATTATAACTCTTCATGTGAACCACAGTGGATGACATACAGAAATTAAATTGATTCCATCTGTGGAAAGAGATAATGGAGAAGTTCAGTATCAGCAGGCAGAGAAAGGCCGGGGACCAACTCTGGAACAGACCATCAACTGCTCCTATGCAAGTTCAAGTTGAAGCTAAACAAAATTAAAATAAATTCATGAGAGGCAAAGCATAACCTTGAGTGTATCTCACCTGAATTGAGAAGTTACCTCAAGAACAGATTTGATGCATTAAACACTATTAACAGAAGAGAACAGAAGAGTTGTGGGATGACATCAAGAATATCGTACATGAAGAATGCAAACAGTCATTAGAAAGACAGAAAAAACAAAACAAAAAAAGCAAACATGACAGAAGAAATGCACACACCTCTACACTGACCAATCCTCTTGGTAGACTCCAGACACTTCATTTGCATAGTAGGCATGGCAAGGCTACAACTCAACTCATGTTCAAAGTTCATAAACAATCTGTGCATGATACTTAACAACCACAGGACAGGCTATAGCATCCAAGGGGCAGGCAAAAAATATCATACCAAGTTGTTGACAACTTCCCAGGGAATGTCCACCAGACAGGACAAAACTAACAAACCATTTGGGGTGGGAAACTAGTGCAAACGTAACTCCTTGGGGAGTAAGGGAGGAAGCTCTCCAGTTATTTTCCCAAAAAACCAAGGCAAACACCACACATAAAGGGACTCATTTCACCATAGGCAGGCATCATCACCCTACATGGTCACGAACTTCTCCTTTATTTCTCTACATTTTGGGTGATTTCTTCAACTGCATGTGATAGTGAACTATCTCTTTAGTGCAGTTGGTGTGTGTGGTAAGATGAGTTCTTTACAAGGCCTTTGACCTCAGTTCTTTGGAAAATCACCGAGAGATTTTCCTCTAAACCCCGAGGAGCTCTACCTTTGCCCTAGTTTGTACCTTGGAAGGTTGTTACATTTCTAGGTTAAGTTGTAAATACCCTGGATTGATGCCTTTTGTCTGCACCTGGGCTGTGGCCTGCCCTGCGATTGCTACACGCCCTTCTATGATTGGTCAACACACTGTTTGCTACGTAGCAAATCAACCTCCTATTACTCTTCTAGCTATAATCTTTGTCATTCCTACCAACTGACTGGGTTGTTGTTGTTAAGTACTATTGAATTGGTTCCGACTCATAATGAGCTTGAAGAGGATTTCAAAGGAACAGCTATGGGGTTTGAACCGCAGAACTTGAGGTAAGCCGTCCAGTGTTTATCCTACAGTGCCACATTAGGATTCCACCAACTGGGTAGGGCTGTGCAAATGTGGTGTTTGTGGCCCACCAAGGGGATTGGATAACTTGTTGCTAATGTAAATAAGGTACAAGGCACCCATATGAGTTGGGACTATGCAAATATGAAACTCCTACCTAGAAACAGGAGTCTTGGTATGGCACTGTGGGATAAAGCACTGGACTGCAAAGTCTGTTTCAACCCCAAGGTCAGTGGTTCAAACTTATCAGCCACTCCCTGGAAACCCTATATAGGGTCGCTATGAATTGGAACCAACTTGATGGCACTCAACAACAACCACCACCTGGAAAGTGGTTGGTTTTGCCATCCACCGGGTTTAAAATGAGCCATCTCAGAAGTGGAATAGGGAATCTCACTCCCATCCAGAAGGAACAGCCAGTAGATCTTCGTGCTGGGAACCTTCTCAATTCAAGAGACTGAGATCTATGACATCAGAAATGAGTAGAAACGCAACAGAGATGTGGCTGCAAGAGAACCAAGAGCATAAGGCGTACGGGTGGGCTTCCTGGCCCTCGGAGCAAGAAAGTTGAGTGCCTTCAGCATGAAGCTTGCTCATGATGTGGCGTGGAATGCCTCCCGGGCACTTATCTAGGGAGCTAGGTGTGCTGGTCTACGGAGCCACAGCTGAGTGGCTTCAGGCTAAAGTTTACTACATTTATCAGCAGTGCTAAAAGAGCGTTAAGGAGCTCTGGTAGCGTAGTGGTTACAAATCGGGCTGCGACCCTTAAGGTCAGCGGTTCGAAACTACCAGGTGCTCCGCGGGAGAAAGATGAGGCTTTCTACTCCCGTAAAGATTTACACCCTCGGAAACCCTATACAGGGTCGCTATGGGTCGGAACTGACTCGATGGCACATAACAACAACAACAACAAAAGAGCGTTATAACGTCATCCAAACGAAGCAAAGGTCAAGGGGAAATGTGGCTGAAAGTCTGAGGACCAGAGAGAGATAGATCTGCCTACAGATATGACTGAGAAGAGGCGTTCTCGATGAAAGAACTATATCCTAAGCATTTCTGATCCTGAATCACAGCCTGTTAACGTTCCGAATAAACTCCATATTAGTTGAGTGCTGTCTGTATTCTGTGTGGCCGTGACAATGGGTTATTGCACCCAGCACAGATGTAGAGTATCATGGGAGGGATGGTTGGGTCATAGTTGGTGAAAAACGTTGGAGGCATGTCTGACCTCCACAGCATCAGCATTGGGCTGATGTTATGTTTGATTCTCTTTTCCCCTTGTGGAAGTCATGGGAAGTCAGATGCCTAAAAAGTGACCCTGGTAAATTTTCACAGTTGGTGTCAGAAGTGGGATTCATGGCCATGGCTCCAGACTCGTGGAAGCCTAGGACTTTGTAAGGGAAAAACGACAGGGAATGTGAAGGGAAACTTTTGATTGTTAGATGATTACTTTGGTTGTTAGGACCTATAAGGCCTAAAAGGATAGTAAAGAGATATTGTGTTATAGCTAAGGGGAGAAGAGCTGCTTTTCAAGTAGCCTGGGCAAGTCAGCCTGGTTAACCAAGATGTCTAACAGGGGACCAGGACCTA